TGCACCATCGAGAGCATCCTGACTGGTTGCATCACCGCCTGGTATGGCAACTGCTTGGCCTCCGACCGCAAGGCACTACAGAGGGTAGTGCGTACGGCCCAGTACATCACTGGGGCCAAGCTTCCTGCCATCCAGGACCTCTATACCAGGCGGTGTCAGAGGAAGGCCCTCAAAATTGTCAAAGACTCCAGCCACCCTAGTCATGGACTGTTCTCTCTGGTACCGGAGTGCCAAGTCTAGGTCCAAAATACTTCTCAACAGCTTCTACCCCCAAGCCATAAGACTCCTGAACAGCTAATCGTGGCTACCCGGACTATTTGCACTGCCCCCCCACCCCATCCTTTTTACGCTGCTGCTACTCTGTTAATTATTTATGCATAGTCACTTTAACTCTACCCACATGTACATATTACCTCAACTACCTCAACTAGCCGGTGCCCCCGCACATTGACTCTGCAACGGTACCCCCCTGTATATATATAGCCTCCCTACTGTCACTTTATTTTACTTCTGCTCTTTTTTTTTCTTTTTTCTTTTTTTTCTCAACACTTTTTTTGTTGTTGTTTTATTTTTACTTGTTTTGTTAAAAATAAATGCACTGTTGGTTAAGGGCTGTAAGTAAGCATTTCACTGTAATGTCTGCACCTGTTGTATTCGGCGCATGTGACCAATAAAATTTGATTTGATTTGATTTGATTTGATACACTTGTTGCTTCCTACCTTATTATAACTATTAAATGCAAAAACATTTCACAATATATATTGTTCTCACATATTTGCATTATTTAACAACGTAAATCATAAGATTTGGGGGTTTTGAGTAGATTATTCCTTTAAGTGAAATCTCCACCCACAAGGGGCACTGGGCCATGCAAAACGAACTCCACCTGTTTGTTATTCCAGTCTTTGCTTAAAGGTGCAATATGCAGAAATCACTCCGCCATTTCCTGGTTGCTAAAATTCTAGTTCTCCTAATTTCAGTTTATGTAACAAAACAAGCAATGCTTAGTGTAGAGAATCATTGTACCATCTAAACCGCTGTGAAATATATTTTCCATAACCAAATATATTTATTTTCAGCTGTTTGAAGCTGGTGTACAAAACCCAACGTAAAAGACGCAAAAACGAAACTTAAGAGAGGGAATCATAGAAATAGCACACATAGAACAGATCTACCGCTTCTTAAACTTGCTTTCGAGAATGACAGTAGGGTCGCCCAAAAAGTTACATATTGCAGCTTTAAAACTGATATTTATTGACGTTTTTCACATTTTTTCTATCATAAATAGTTGACACATGGCACCGGGTACAAGGAGTGGAATGTTACAGAGACTGGCAACCAGGAAAAATAATAATATCTAACAGTGTGAATAAATATTGTAGTTTCATTCTTATGAGACTACAATTGGGGAATTTTCAGTCAGATGAGGCTCCTGCCCTCTAGTGGCAAAATGAAGTTAGGCACAGAGGAAAAGAGAGGTGGGGAAAGGAACTCAGGGCCACGTTCAGTTGCCAACTGTTGTCGAACGTTGCAGATAGAAACGCCATGAATAGAGCCAACATGATTTCTTGGTCTTTATGTCGGACAAGCATGTTTGTTCTACATTGATATTTATATCTGAACGTTCCAAAACGTTATGTTATGCTGAATGCACCACAGGTCACACCAAAATCTTTGCTCAAGTGAACAACTGCTCAAGGATCAGCTCTCCTCACACCAGAGATGACCACAATCACCAAGAATCAAATGATCAAGCTGATTTTGGACCATTGTGGTTCGCCTGCACCATGGCCACGTTCAGTCGCCAGATGTTCTCAAATGTTGCAGATATAAATTTTATGACTAGAGCCGACATGATTCCTTATTGTACATGTTAGAGAGGCATGTTTGTTCTACATTACATTTTTCTATCTGAACGTTCCAAAACGTTCCTGCTGAACGCGCCCCAGTTGATTGACATGACCAAACACACACCCACCGGTGACCGGAGCAATTACTCTAATTGCCAATAACAAAATGGACAACATCGATTTGATAGCACTTCTTATTTACAGATGAATAATCAAAATGTGTCTGAATTGTTGAAACAAAGATACTTTTAAACTGGTTGAAATTCCCAGTCCCTCCGTTTCAATAAAAAATACTAGGGAGAAATAATTACTAATATGGACTAGCCACATGTAAATGAGAAAGACGTTGAATGGGAAGTCACATTAAATAGTAATTATTCACTTACTCGGCCATAGAATGCTTTCTAGTTTTATATAAAAAGGAACATTTGTAAATCAACATTTGATTTGATTTGTCCTTTCAACGGTAAGAAAATAAACCACGAGTTGTGGTTTTATAAAAAAATGTAATAAAAAGTAACCCCCCCCCCTATCTTCCTTGTTACATTTCCGCGGTCCATGTTGGGGTTTTATGAGTCCGCAACAAAGCGCGCTTTCTTTTTGACGATCCACAGCCTACCTGTCGCCACGTGGAAGAACATCAAGAAGCTGCGGTAAAGTATTTCGATAATGTACGGAGTTTAAATATTACTTTTTCCTCAGTGTATCAAAATGCTTTTATATTTGTGATGATTGCAGGCAAAAATGGTCTTAATTAAGTTGCATATCCGTTTTTAACTAGCGATCTACTTTATGGATTAGCTTGAAAACGGCTAGGTCATGAAGGTTTGTGTTGGCTAGGTAACGTTATCGCCATAGAAATTGTAGCCACCATAGGCTTGTGTTAGCCATTTTGGTGGTAACTAAAAAACATTTTCAGTTAGCTAACGTTATCAATATACAACCATTCATATTTATTTTATTTTTGTAGCCATTTGGGAAATTGAACGGAATACCTCAATATGAAAATCTCTACAGAATGTTATCTAACTAAGTTACCTAGTCAACATGGCGGCCATTTCGCTTTTTGACTCTTGAGCCTGATTTGCTTTGTTAACTAGCTAGGTAGTTAACATTAGCTAGCTAACTAGTTACATTTGAATTTGTACATGAGTGTGTAAATTTAAACTGAACTAAATACAGTCACTTCTATTTGGATAACTAACTTAAATTGTGAAAGTAGTTAACGTTAAAATGATCTTGCTCGCTAACTACTGAACTTTGTTAGACATGCTTATCTAGCCAGGTAACGTTAGTGTGTGCATTTCGAAATGAATGGATGCACGTGGTGGGCGAGCTTGGGAAGTTACTGCCAGCAGATAAATGGCATGACAAGTAGCTAACCACCTAGCACTGGCCTAGATGGCAGCTGATTTACTGAGATCGCTAGCTATTCATGACTAACGTTTTCTTCCAAGGTTCGTTATTACATTCATTGTACAGTATTGGAGAAAATAAGTACTTGTTGGTGGCTGTGTAACTAAACCTAACTAACTAGCAGTAATTATTTATTGCAATGTCATTCTGTGACATGATTTTACTTTGCCAACATCAAGTACAGTAGTTAGGTAGTCAGTGGTCACTTGTTTAGATGTAAAATGCACTAGTAGCGCTAGCTAACTAGAGAACCTGGTAGAAGTTTTTTGTAACATTGACTACTAAAGGTGTGTTCGTAAATTCACTCCGGCGTGCCAGAGTGCGCTCTGGGCGTTGGTAAATTCAGAGCGTAGCGTTCAGAGTGCACACTGGACGCGCTGGACTAGGGGTAAGGTTGATTTGAGCTTTCTGACCTCATAACGAAAATCAAGCACCCATGCTAAAGTTAACTAGCTTGCTAACTACTTCCAGACACAAATGAGAGAACACCTCCCTCTGACAATTTTACTCTCTCTAGTATAACTAGTTAGGCTGTTTACATGTTATCTAGAGCGTTGGTTACTGTAATTGTGCTGCTGGCAACTATTTAATGACGTTTTTTGACACTGGTCATATTCAACGGTGTTGCCTGTTCATAAATTCATTAGTTATGTGTTGTGGCACACAGACGAGAGTGCAGTGAAATACGAACGCACCCTAAAATGTAACAAGCTAGGTAATAGATACCCAGGTGTAGTTAATTGACATTTGTCATTTTTTGATTTCAGAACCACATTTGTAGATCATGGATGACTGGGATGAGGTAAATTACTCTAAATCAGTAATTTGAGCTGTTATTATTTACATATTAGGGGAGTCATTTGTGAACTAACGCTTAAATTGTCACTACCTGGTGTGAAATGTGTAATATTTAAATATAGGTGTACAGAAGCGTATGTGAATGGAACATGAAATATATATATTTTGTTTTTAACTTTGCAGGGTACGACAACCACCAGTAATGGTAGGTTCATGTAATTTGTGTGTGCACTAGCTGGATTCCCTTTGCTAAATGGATACAAGTTTTGCTTTCTGTAATAGCCAGGTAACATCCTGTCAGTCAGATGCAACTTGCTTTTTCGCGGGTGTTGTTGGTAAAGGCGTTAAACTAAATAATCACTGGATGAGTAACTACTTATTAATGGCTGAGATTTAATGTGTTTTTGTAGCAAGTGGAATGAGTTCGTGGACCAGTGTTGGCCAAAGTTCCAGTTTTGGGAGATCGACTGGTAGGATAGTGCCTTTATATCCATAAGGTAACATGCAAGAGTTGTAACATGCAAGAGTTGAAACATTATTAATTAGATTTCTGATCTCTTCAGATAATAAAGTCAGCTCCTGGAACAGTGGAGGTGGCGGCTTTGGTGGGGGCAGAGGCAAGTTCTTTAAAAAACATTTTTTATCTTGGTTCTTACTGGCGGGAGGGCATTGCACTGGTCTGAGTTCTCACTGTACTGATTTAAAATTCTTGTAATGTTTTCTTACAGGCAGAGGGTCAAGGGGAGGGGGTGGAGGCTTCAATAGTTTCTCTTCAGGTGCATAGTCTCAGAATTATTTCATGTACATTTTATTTGATGTTATTCTTCTGAAAGTTGCTGTGTAAAATGGAGTATTTCCTAGGGAGTCTTGGAAATAATTTTAAAAAATAAAATACACTTTTTTTTTGAATGTATATTGCCCTCTGTCCTCAACAGGAGCTGATGAGAATGGGAATGAAGGTAGGTGACTGACTTGCTACCTTATACTGTAGTGGAAGACTGCAGTTGAGCAAATTCACACTTCGCACTGCTATCTGTTCATTATATCCCAAAATGCATTGCTCAGAATATTTACTGTCATGGGGATGGCACTAAAACAGAATGGAGGCATTATACTGTGCAAGGTATTTTATCAATTTCACAGTTCCAAAATGTATTATGCTGGTGATGCTGTCATTTTCAGGGTCTTCAAACATCTTCGCCATGACTTTGTTATTAATTCATGCCTCCAATTGTATGAATATTGATGCTCTCTGAATTGGTAGTGTTCTGTTCAGATAAAGGCAGCTCCTGGAACACTGGTGAAGGAGGCTTCAGGGGAAGAGGCAGAGGTGCGACTTGTGGTTCTTTCTGAAATAAACAGATTGGGAAAAATTATTTTCTGGGTCATTAACTTTCTGGAACAATTTGGGTAATTGCTTAACTCTTAATTGTGATTTCTGCTCCCTAAATGCATCACATTGCTGTCTCAACAGGGGGCGGCAGAGGATCAAGGGGAGGAGGCTTCCGAAACGGTACTGTAACACTTCATTTAGAAACTATTCTTATCCTCTAGTCCTCATGCCCCACACTGTCATTTCTATTGATGAGCAGAATCTTAATAAACATTATGCCCTGATTTTTAAGTGTTTCTTGTATATAGTCTTATCCATCTAGCTATTGGACATAATGGTTTGCACGTGTGTTTTGTGAAATAAACCGTTTTGACTTTTTACAGGGGATGATGGCAATGATGGTGGTATGTTGGTTTTGATATTCTCTACATGCAATAATTTAATCATTCTAGATGGTTGGCTCAGTTTAAATTCTCATTGTCCTTCCAATAGTTTCTGGATGTCTTTTCACCTTTAAATATCTTGTTGACCATGCTCTTGTCCAATAGTAGTGATAAAAAGGGTGTCAGGTAGACTAGCGGTTAAGAGCGTTGGGCCAATAAAGGGTTGTGCGTTCAAATCCCTGAGCCGACTAGGTGAAAAATCTATGTACCCTTGAGCAAGGCACTTAACCCTAATTGCTCCTGTAAGTGTCTATACGTAGTCACTTTACCCCTACCTACATGTACAAATTACCTCGACTAACCTGTACCCCGCACATTGACTTGGTACCGGTACCCCCTGTATATAGCCTCTTTATTGTTACTTTTTATTTTTCATTTTAGTTTAGTAAATATTTTCTTAACTATTTCTTGAACTGCATTATTAAGGGCTTGTAAGTAAGCATTTCACTGTAAGGTCAACACCTGTTGTATTCGGCGAATGTGACAAATAACATTTGATTTGAAGTCTCTCTGGATAAGTGTACTAAATGACAAATGTAAATATGGAGGTTAACATTTTTGTGTATGATGGTTTACACTGTTCTTTCTCAAATTTGAAGTGGTGAGCTAATGAAATCTATCATGCGGTTTTATGGCTTTTTTTTTACTGAAGTCCTCGCTTTTCAGGGTTTGGAGGTGGCCGGGGAGGCAGAGGTGGCAGGGGAGGCTTCCGATCAGGTAAATCTGCACATCACTTGAGGAAATTCTAAAATATTCCCTCAAATACTGATTTTGAAATCTATCCTTGGTCTTGTACCAGTGATGAGTATCATTCAAAGATGCCTGGTTTATATGTGAAGGTTATGGCAACCCTAAAATATTTTCAGATCTGCCAACCTGTACGCGTTTTGCGTACCATGCATGTAATTTGAGGTCAAAGTATGCTGGTGTGAAAAACTACCATAAAATGCACAAAAATGGGCTTCTAGTTGGTACATTGTATATGTTTGACCACCTCAATTTCATTTAGGATCAAACAAGACTTCTGTGTTGGCTACGTTTTGATATTATTTAAGACTAGGTTTCAGGAAATGGCAGCTGCAGGTTTAAAAATAAATAAAACTGCTTCAACTTCCTGAGGGAGAACATGACTGACATCCTCCGGAATGACCTCCAACCTTATGCTTACATCAGCACCACCTTGTCAGAAAATTCTAGAGAGCCCTGATTTGTACATTTAAACTTGTTTCTAGTTAGCTACTGAAGAGAAGCCAAGTACCCATTCCTACTGAGGCAGTGTTCTGCCATTACGCAAAAAAAAAAAGTCAATTTGCCTTTGATTTGAGCAGTGTGGGTGTTTGTATGCGCACTGTAGTGTGGGCCGGGTTTGCCATAAAAATTATTCAAGGTTGGCATGTCTGTGTTTTCCTCATGCTTCATATCTGTTGAAATGCTCTAGGGAAAGTTGTCGCTAACTATGGCTTGTTTCAGGTGGTGGTGATGAAGGCGGAAGAGGAGGATTTGGCGGAGGAGGTGATTTAGGGCCCTGTAAAATCGTATTTTTCCCAAATTCTGTTTTTCCAGGTTTCAGTTTCTCTATTTTTCAGGTTTTCACTCTCAATCAATTTTAACAGAAACTACTACATTGGATGTTTAAGTCAATAATGGCTAAACCACTCCAGGAGACTACTTTTGAGGTCTAGGACAAATTAGACATTTTATTTTTGGGTATAATTACCCTTATAATTCCAGTGTGCACCTAGCAAGAGGCACTGTTTATGTAGCACAGTTTGCAAAACCGATACTCACTGGATTGATTAAAATCATATTATGTCAGGTAAGCATAGGCTACTTTGTAGTTAACATTTAATTTAGAAGGTTTTTGGGAAAGAAAGCCTTTCCGTCTACCAGAAGACTTTTCATTAGCATCACTAATGGCTACACGGTGATAGACGCGCGCACCGCACACAGACGGGGAATTCTTGTTGCCTCTTAAGAGTTGCAGGAAATACGAATCACTGACGCATTCTGTTAATGTCTTATGATTAACTTTAGCAAATTAAGTTTCTATACGTTTATGCTGAACAAAAATATAATGCAACATGAAATTATTTGACTGAGTTACAATTCATAAGGAAATTTGTCAATTTAAATAAATTCATTTGGCCCAAATCTATGGATTTCACATGACTGGCCAGGGGTGTGGCCTTGGGTGCCAGGCCCAGCCAATCAGAATGAGTTTTTCCCCTCAAGGGCTTTATTACAGACAAAAATACTCCTCGGTTTCATCAGACTGTCCGGGTGGCTGGTCTCAGACGATCCCACAGGTGAAGACTGATGTGGAGGTCCTGGGCTGGCGTGGTTACACTTAGTCTACGGCTGTGAGGCCGGTTGGACGTAATGCCAAATTCTCTTAAATGATAGAGGCTGCGTATGGTAGAGAAATTAATATAACATTTTCTGGCAACAGCTCTGGCGGACATTCATGCAGTCCGCATGCCAATTGCACGCTCACTCAACTTCAGACAACTGTGGCATTGTGTTGTGACAAAATTGCACATTTTAGTGGCCTTTTATTGTCCCCAGCACAATGTGCGCCTGTGTAATGATCATGCTGTTTAATCAGCCTGTTGATATGCCACACCTGTCAGGTGGACGGATTATCTCAAGGAGAAATGCTCACTAAAAGGGATGTAAACTAATTTGTGCAAAAAAATTGAAATAAGCTTTTTGTGCATATGGAACATTTCTGATTTATTTCAGCTCATGAAACATGGGACCAACACTTTACATGTTTATTTTTGTCCATTATAGTTAATTCCCTACTAAGTTCAATAGTTTGTTTTATATTGTTGATGTCTGTTTTGCCTGGATAGTGATTCAATCAGTGTTCTTTGCATCACAGATTATATAGAGCCCTAGTAATTGGCCTTATGTTTAAGAGATTGAGATACTGCTGTCACAGCAAGCCTTATTGTGAAACTTCCCATGTCCTATCATTCCAGGTTATCGTGGACGAGATGAGGAAGTATTCTCTAAAGGTTCCATGTTTTTCATTTCTTACTTAATAATTTCCTTGACCTGATGTTGAATGCGTTTGCATTTCAAAATGTCTGTTTATGTGGTATTTCCACCTATTTTAGGTTCAACCATGGCTGGGGAGGGTGGTGAAGATGGTGAAAATCCAGGTTTGTATGTTATGCAAGGAAGCATTTCGTTGGACAATGTATACCAGTGATCAACTAGATTTATAAAAAATAAAACAAATCTGAGTGGCTGGTCAGGTGTCCAGAACGTAATTACACATTTGTAGACAGCAAATTGACCGCAAGAAGCCCAAACAGATGTTTGACTAAAACATAATCATTTCAAATCTTGCTTACATTTGTATACGACCACGTCGTCTCTATTATGCGTAGGAATACTTGGGAACCGATTACCTGGTGTTCTTTTACTGCGTCGTGTCCAACAATGAACTTTTTTTTAAAAAATTATCAGAACTTGGGGGGGGGGGGGGGGTAAAACCTGGCCTGCAGGCCGCCATTTGGGGAACCCTGATGTATCCCTTACATTCGACTTATAAAACGTAAAACTGTTCAATATTGTTCCAAACGATATTTAAAGGGAGCCATTGCATACTATTGTTTTTGTTGCATGTATTAAATGGTGGTGCTACAATTACTTGGGTCTCCTTTCAATATTGACAAGAAGGCTGCTTCTCTGCCCTTTAACATTCAGTTGCAGAAAGTTGCCTGTACATTTATTCAATACTTAATGTGATCACGCTCGTTTAACCTCACTCTCCCATCAGGTCCCCCAAAGGTGACCTACGTGCCTGAAGCCCTCTGTGAGGAGGAGTCGTCCATTTTTGCCCATTATGAGTCGGGCATCAACTTTGACAAGTACGATGACATCCTGGTCGACGTCAGCGGCAGCAATCCGCCAAAGGCAATCATGGTGAGTGCCTTACTGGAGGCCTGTGGCCTTAAAGTGCTCATCTCCTTACATTCATGACTGAATAGGCTTCCCCAATATTTCACACATCATTCAACCCTCCAATCGGTTGCATCATTAGAAAGAACAAGGAAAATGGTATGAGGTCGGGGGATGGCCCCAGAGCTGCACTTGCACCTTAAATGCTGGATTGTCATAAAAAAAAAAAGTTTTAAAGCAATGGCTGGATAATTGGCGTATACTGGTTGTTGTATTGTTAAATGAGCTGCTAGTGATGGCAACGTTGCTGTGATTTTGAGACTGTAACAACCGGTTTTCCTCTTAGGCTTTTGAAGAGGCTGCCCTGTGTGAATCTCTGAACAGGAACGTCATTAAGTCTGGCTATAAGAAGCCCACCCCAGTACAGAAGCATGGCATCCCCATCATCTCCGCTGGCCGGGACCTCATGGCCTGTGCCCAGACTGGATCTGGGAAAACAGTGAGTTGCCCCTGTAGAACTGAAAACCTTAAGTAAAACGTCCTATTTAGCAAGCAGTCTTAATCCCACTTTTCTTTGTGAATGTGTACTAGCTGAATGTAGTGGGTCAAACATTAGCATGTGAAATGGCGCGCTGGTCATATTTACTCTTGGTCAACCGGGTTAACATACTCGGGTATAAATCTATAGCACTTGTGTTGGCTAGCGTGTGTAAGCCTGTGGGTAGAATAAGTATTGTAACTTTGCCCCCCCCCCCCCCCCAGGCTGCGTTCCTGCTACCCATCCTGCAGCAGCTGATGGCAGACGGCGTGGCAGCTAGTCGGTTCAGCGAAGTGCAGGAGCCAGAGGTTATCATAGTGGCCCCAACCAGGGAACTCATCAACCAGATCTACATGGAAGCCAGGAAGTTTGCCCACGGGTATGCAGTTATGTTCACTGCATATTTCAAAGGGAGTACAGTGCCTTGCAAAAAGTATTCATCTGCCTTAGCGTTTTTCCCTATTTTGTTGCATTACAACCTCTAATTTAAATGGATTTTTATTGGATTCCATGAAATGGACATACACAAAATAGTCAATTGGAGAAATGAAAAAAATTACTTGTTTTAAAAAATAACGGAAAAGTGGTGCGTGCATATGTATTCACCCCCTTTGCTATGAAGCCCCTTAATAAGATCAGGTGCAACCGGTTACCTTCAGATGTCACAATTAGTTAAAGTCCACCTGTGTGCAATTAAGTGTCACATGATCTCAGTGTGTGTGGTAGAGAGATAGATATCTGTTCTGAAAGGCCCCAGAGTCTGCAACACCACTAAGCAAGGGGCATCACCAAGCAAGCGACACAATGAAGACCAAGGAGCTCTGCAAACGGGTCAGGGACAAAGTTGTGGAGAAGTACAGATCAGGGTTGGGTTATAAAAAAAAAAAAGATCTGAAACATTGAACATCCCACGGAGCACCATTAAATCCATTATTAAAAAATGGAAAGAAAATGGCACAACAACAAACCTGCCAAGAGAGGGCCGCCCACCAAAACTCACGGACCAGGCAAGGAGGGCATTAATTAGAGGCAACAAAGAGACCAAAGATAACCCTGAAGGAGCTGCAAAGCTCCACAGCAGAGATTGGAGTATCTGTTCATAGGACCACTTTAAGCCGTACACTCCACAGAGCTGGGCTTTATGGAAGAGTGGCCAGAAAAAAGCCATTGCTTAAAGAAAAAAATAAGCAAACACGTTTGGTGTTCGCCAAAAGGCATGTGGGAGACTACCCAAACATGGAAGAAGGTACTCTGGTCAGATGAGACTAAAATTGAGCTTTTTGGCCATCAAGGAAGGCGATATGTCTTGCGCAAATCCAACACCTCATCACCCCGAGAACACCATCCCCACAGTGAAGCATGGTGGTGGCAGCATCATGCTGTGGGGATGTTTTTCATTGGCAGGGACTGGGAAACTAGTCAGAATTGAAGGAATGATGTAGTTGGCGCTGAATACAGGGAAATTCTTGAGGGAAACCTGTTTCAGTCTTCCAGAGATTTGAGACTGGGACGGAGGTTCAACTTCCAGCAGGACAATGACCCTAAGCATACTGCTAAAGCAACACTTGAGTGGCATAAGGGGAAACATTTAATTGTATTGGAATGTCCTAGTCAAAAGGTGGCTCTACAAAGTTTTGACTTTAGGGGGGTGAATAGTTATGCACGCTCAAGTTCTGTGTAAAGACAAAAAAACTGAGCTTGAGCGTGCATAATTTTTTTTACTTTGCATCTTCAAAGTGGTAAGCATATTGTGTAAATGAAATGATACAAACCCCCCAAAAAATCCATTTTAATTCCAGGTTGTAAGGCAACAAAATATGAAAAATGCCAAGGGGTGTGAATACTTTTGCAAGCCACTGTATGTTAAACCCTTTCTCACCACCTGCGCTTTTCAAAAGTAATAGTGGAAATGGAGCTAAATATCATTTAGTTCTTATGGCAAAAGTTCAGGTAAAATCTTTCAAGATTGGAATGTTAGCAAATAAATCCAATGGACAGTAGTATTCTGATTCTGCAGACTTTATTCCGCTGTCTTTTGTAGAACTTGTGTGCGTCCAGTGGTGGTTTACGGAGGCATAAGCACTGGTCACACCATTCGTGAGGTACTGAAGGGCTGCAATGTGCTGTGTGGGACTCCAGGAAGACTGATGGACATTATTGGAAGAGGAAAGGTAATGAATCAGTGCTTCGATAACAAATACATATTTGAATCAATCCTTGAGTAGTCAGCAGCCAGTTGAAACCATCAGTTAACCTAGTCCATTTTAGCCTCTTCTGTCTACTTCCCCAGATTGGCTTGAGCAAGCTGCGTTACCTGGTGCTGGACGAGGCTGACAGGATGCTGGACATGGGCTTTGAGCCTGCGATGCGCAAGCTGGTGGGGTCCCCAGGCATGCCAGCTAAAGAGAACCGCCAGACCCTCATGTTCAGCGCCACCTACCCCGAGGACATCCAAAAGTCTGTCTCCCAGATAACTGCGATAAACCATGATTTTAAATGAACTTTGAAATATTTCAAGGTTTCTAGCGGATGTATTGCTTTTTTTTACATACAGTGGGGGGGGGAAGTATTTAGTCAGCCACCAATTGTGCAAGTTCTCCCACTTAAAAATATGAGGCCTGTAATTTATCATAGGTACACGTCAACTATGACAGACACAATGAGAATTTTTTTTTCTCCAGAAAATCACATTTTTTATGAATTTATTTGCAAATTATGGTGGAAAATAAGTATTTGGTCAATAACAAAAGTTTCCCAATACTTTGTTATATACCCTTTGTTGGCAATGACACAGGTCAAACGTTTTCTGTAAGTCTTCACAAGGTTTTCACACACTGTTGCTGGTATTTTGGCCCATTCCTCCATGCAGATCTCCTCTAGAGCAGTGATGTTTTGGGGCTATCGCTGGGCAACACGGACTTTCAACTCCCTCCAAAGATTTTCTATGGGGTTGAGATCTGGAGACTGGCTAGACCACTCCAGGACCTTGAAATGCTTCTTACGAAGCCACTCCTTCGTTGCCCGGGCGGTGTGTTTGGGATCATTGTCATGCTGAAAGACCCAGCCACGTTTCATCTTCAATGCCCTTGCTGATGGAAGGAGGTTTTCACTCAAAATCTCACGATACATGGCCCCATTCATTCTTTCCTTTACACGGATCAGTCGTCCTGGTCCCTTTGCAGAAAAACAGCCCCAAAGCATGATGTTTCCACCCCCATGCTTCACAGTAGGCAGTGGCGGCTCCTGAAAAAATTCTCAGGGGGGGGCAATTTTTCTGATGATTTAGGTGACCTACACACATTTTAAAAAAGATATGTCCAGCAACAACATGAAGACAGGGGCAGCATATAGGTCAATACCAGAAGCATTTATTGACTGATCTCAAAAGTGTTGGCTTACCAGGGTTGGTGGAGCCCTCAGTTTCATCTTTGCCTCGCAAAGCTAACTCAAACACTCCGCAAAACTTCACACACTGGATTAGCCGGCTGAGGATGTGGCGGTTCTTGCTAATGTCGTAGTAAATATATTTGTTATAGTGAATATGATATGTTGAGTAAAATGTTGTGCTAAGATCTATTTAGGTCAGGAGCTGGTTATAAGTTCTGTTCCTATCCAATAACAATGGACAAAAGGGTCCTATCTTGTCAGCCTTGTCAGTTTCAGTTCTCCAGTAAACTTGTGATTATCAACACTAACCTCATCGTTGTGGCGGCGGACAGCTAGCCTGTATCCCTCATCCAGTTGAGTGGGAATGTTCACTCTCCCCAAAGCAGACAATCTCAAACAGCTATTTGACAGCTCATGTTTCTTAATCTTTCCTGAAAGATGGTGCATGTCCGTTACACACCAGTCGCTGTCCAAGCGGTGCTGTCTGCCGTGCCGCCTTCAGGGTGAAAGAGTAAGCAGGGGGTAGCAGAAGACTGCATTAGCTACATCGCAGCCTGCTAGCCAGGTTTTTCGTTCGTACCAATTTTTGGAAAATCCTCGGGTGTAGGACTTCCCCCCTTTAGTAGAAACCTGTTGAATTATTAAATTTGGTCTGGGAGGTCCTAATTGTTTCGTTGCCAATTTATCTTCATTTGTTCGCCGACAAAAAGTAACTTATTTCAAAGAGACAATCGAGTTGCACTGAACGCTATAGCCATCTTGATAGTAGTAAGTGAATTGATTGATGAGGCTACCCGCTCTTTTCTTAGTTACGTTCATGGTTATGTTACGTATGACGAAAGCGCGTAAGTGCAAGCCCTCAGAAACCCATAGAGATTGTATTGAAAGCTCTGATATTTGAAAAAAATAGATTTTACATGGGAGTCTATGACAGACTTCTGGGCGATTTTCAACCTGACTGAAATTGCCCCAAAAGGGGGGGGGGGGCATTTGACGCACGACTTTAGCCTGATTGGACATTTAGTGGCACTGTGGCAGATCAGACGTCTAGATTACAACACTGATAACTACTGTTGCCGTGATATAATTGATTAGGGAAAAAATCCCTTCCTTTTCCCGTTTGGCAGTGCATCGCCCTATTGAACACACCGCCCCTGACAGTAGGTATGGTGGTGTTTGGATGCAACTCACCATTCTTTGTCCTCCAAACACGACGAGTTGAGTTTTTACCAAAAAGTTATATTTTGGTTTCATCTGACATTCTTCCAATCCTCTTCTGGATCATCCAAATGCACTCTAGCAAACTTCAGACTGGCCTGGACATGTACTGGCTTAAGCAGGGGGACACGTCTTGCACTGCAGGATTTGAGTCCCTGGCGGCGTAGTGTGTTACTGATGGTAGGCTTTGTTACTTTGGTCCCAGCTCTCTGCAGGTCATTCACTAGGTCCCCCCGTGTGGTTCTGGGATTTTTGCTCACCGTTCTTGTGATCATTTTGACCCCACGGGGTGAGATCTTGTGTGGAGCCCCAGATCGAGGAGAGATTATCAGTGGGCTTGTATGTCTTCCATTTCCTAATAATTGCTCCCACAGTTGATTTCTTCAAACCAAGCTGCTTACCTATTGCAGATTCAGTCTTCCCAGCCTGGTGCAGGTCTACAATTTTGTTTCTGGTGTCCTTTGACAGCTCTTTGGTCTTGGCCATAGTGGAGTTTGGAGTGTGACTGTTTGAGGTTGTGGACAGGTGTCTTTTATACTGATAACAAGTTCAAACAGGTGCCATTAATACAGGGTAACGAGTGGAGGACAGAGGAGCCTCTTAAAGAAGAAGTTACAGGTCTGTGAGAGCCAGAAATCTTGCTTGTTTGTAGGTGACCAAATACTTATTTTCCACCATAATTTGCAAATAAATTCATAAAAAATCCTACAATGTGATTTTCTGGATATTTTTTTCTCATTTTGTCTGTCATAGTTGACGTGTACCTATGATATAAATTACAGGCCTCATCTTTTTAAGTGGGAGAACTTGCACAATTGGTGGCTGACTAAATACTTTTTTCCCCCACTATGCTTTTTACTTTTGCGCAGCTTTGTACAGAATTTCCATGTAAAGGATAATTCAGTAGAACCAGTCATGGCACGATTCTAAATGGTTGTTGTATGTTTATATGATGCCGTGTTGTCCTGTGGTTTTAAGACTGGCTGCGGACTTCCTGAAGAAGGACTATCTGTTCCTTGCTGTGGGCGTGGTGGGCGGAGCCTGCAGTGATGTGGAGCAGGTTGTGGTTCAGGTGACCAAGTTCTCCAAAAGAGACCAACTACTAGAGGTCCTCAAGACTACAGGTACCATCAGTACTTTGCTATATGAGCGTTGGCACCTCGCATGCTAACACTTAAACCACTATTCAGTGCATCCAAATTATATTTTCATGTTGAAGGGCATATTCTGCATTCACAGGGTCTGAACGCACAATGGTCTTTGTAGAAACCAAGAGGCAGGCTGACTTTATCGCAACATTCCTGTGTCAGGAGAAGGTTAATACTACTAGTATTCACGGGTAAGGAACTGTCTTCAAGTGATTTACCCCATAGTCATTGCCAGTTGGGCCTCAGATGTCTTGTTAGTCGTTGTCCAGCTGTATGACGTGTCATTTGGTGTTTTTTGTCAGTGACCGTGAGCAGAGGGAGCGAGAACAGGCGCTCGGCGACTTCCGCTCAGGAAAGTGTCCTGTCCTGGTGGCCACCTCTGTTGCTGCCCGCGGACTGGACATCAAGGATGTCCAACACGTAGTCAACTTTGACCTCCCCAACAACATTGACGAGTACGTCCACCGCATCGGGAGAACAGGCCGCTGTGGGAACACCGGGAGAGCTGTGTGTTTCTTTGACCCGGAGGCCGACGGCAACCTGGCACGCTCCCTGGTCAAAGTCCTGTCTGGTGTAAGTGATTTCAATCTGCTCCAGTCAAAGCAGCCTTTACAGATGGATCAGCCCCACTGTCCGTCACAACACCTTTGTTATTGTTTTTGTTTTGTGGATGAAACATATGTGTGTCAAGCAGTGTTTAAAAAATATATATAATAATTAAGTACATATTCTGCTGTTCTATTGTCTGAGAGGGAAAAAGGTGTTTGCAGTTACTTTGTAATATCCCAAACGGACGTGGCAGTTTCACCATTAATGATTCCAGCTTTAAGGCCTGCTAGCTAGTCAAAAGCAGACTTGGAACTAAAATACAAATGTATTCTCACTGCAATTACTTTTCACAGGCCCAGCAGGAGGTGCCCAAATGGCTGGAGGAAGCGGCCTTCAGTGCTCATGGCACTACAGGGTTCAACCCAGGTGGGAGAACCTTTGCCTCCACTGATAGCAGGAAGGTATGGATCCGGTCTAGCGCTGTTATTTCCCATTGAACACTGTTTTAGTGGCTACATGTTTAGTGTTGTCGTTGTTGACACGTGGTTCCTCTCTTGACCTCAGGGTGGATCTTTCCAGAGCGACAGGGCGAGTCAACCAGCTGCTCCCCCCAGCGGTGGCTTAGATGACGATGAGTGGGAGTGATAATGCACCTCTAATTTTTTTGTTTTTGTTTTTTTGGTTTGTGTGTTTTCAAACTGTCATTTTTGGTTCAATTTAAATTTTGTTTGAGTGTTTTATTATATTGTTTAAAGAAAATAATAATTTTGCACTCCGCTTGATATTTCCGGAAATGTGCATGCTGGTAGTCCTGGATAGGGGAGATCCTATTACTGTCAACCACGGGTTCAAATCTGTGGGCTTGAGATGAAGCTTCTCAAATGTTCTAGTTATTACTAGTGCTACTGGCTCTTGTGGTTTGAATTGCGAAGCGTCACTTGCACACATATTTTCCTCTTTCACACAAATGTTTTGCCTCCCTCAAAATGTTGCATTTACACCCTGGTTAGTGTGTTGAACTAAAAACGATCTAGTAATGCTTGTCTGTCCCCAGATAATACCTGTAAAGCGTTGAATTTCAGTAAGGATTCTGCAGTTGGACCTAACTGTGGTTCTGTTAACCAATCTGAGGTGACCCATGTTTCGGATCGCTTATTGTAACCTCGATGTACAAGAGTGCTTACGTTTGTAGAAAGATTAATGGCATTTTGTGCCAGACGAAATTAGTAAATACATTTGATTTACTTGATGTTTGTTTAATTCATGTAGACGTTTGAAATATGGATAAAGTCATTTTATTGAAAGTAAAGAATGTCTTGGATAATTTGTCTGGCTTGTTTAATTTGAGTGTCTGAGCTTTTGGCGATTAGAGCTGTGAGTTAAGTTTCACTTGTAATATCTAGCGTTCATCCTGTTTCTTGATTTCCTGTCAGTAAACCTGCGGTTACGTTATGCAATGGTCTACACATACACTCACCCAGTCACTGTTCATTGGGGTTGTGAATTGAAGAAAGGCAAGACTACCAACTTTCCACAGGACATTGAGAATGAAGGTATGATAAAGGTTTATAATGTAGTACAGAATTTTTTTCATTTAAACTTTTTAACTTGAACCTGTTTTGATATTTTCTATAGTTTATGCTGCCTTTAAAACAACTGGGAACTCGGAAATCTCCGACATCGGTGCGTTCAAACAACTGGGGACTCATGAAAAAAACGTGCTCCAATGGGGAAAAAATCGATTTGAACAGTCGCCTCTTTCTAGAGCGACCTGAAGACTGCCGACGTTATGATTTGACCTCGTATTTTTCCGAGTTCGTAGTTGTGAACGCGGCATTAACATTTGTGCTGTTGGATGAAACCGTTCTTACGTAAATATGTATGTGTAAATATATATGGCGTGGTTTAGATGTAGTGAAATTGTTTATCCACTAACTGCAGAGGGAATTACACTAATTGTTGCACAACTTGAAAGACGTGACATGCCATTATTTTCTGTGCCAAGGGTCCGAGAAGGATGGCAATACTAGTCCTGTCAATCTTCCTTTTGCTCCCAGTAATTTCTGAAGGTGAGTTCCTATTTGATAATACGGCATTAAAGGGGAAATCTGATTGCAACTTCAATTTTTGACTTTCACATTGATATACCCATTGAATATGACTTGTATACACTGAGTGTAATAACTAGGAACATGCGCTTTCCATGATAGACTGACCAGGCGAAGGCTATTATCCCTTATTGATGACACCTGCAAAATCCACTTCAATCAGTGTCGACAAAGGGGAGGAGATGCGTTAAAGAAGGATTTTAAAGCCTTGAGACGTGAATGTGTGCCATTCAGAAGGTGAATGGGCAAGATAAGAGATTTGTGTCTTTTGAATTGGGTATGGTAGTAGGTGCCAGGCGCACCAGTTTGTGTCAAGAACTGCAACACTGCTGAGTTTTTCAAGCTCAACCGTTTCCCGAGTGTATCAAGAATGGTCCACCACCCAATGGACATCCAGCCAACTTGACACAACTGGGATGTATTGACGTCAACATGGGCCAGCATCCCTGTGCCACACTTGACACCTTGTAGTTCATGCCCTGACGAATTGAGGCTGTTCTGAGGGCAAAAGGGACTCCATATTAGGAAGGTGTTCCTTATGTTTTGTTCGCTGTGTATAAGCTTAGTTCAAGTGTCGTACCACATCAGAACCCAAATGATTGTTCCACTCCAATGTTTGTAAACAATGCAATTGTAATAAAACACTATGTAGCCTCAACATGGTCAATACTATAATTTTAATTTCGTGGATGGTCAGTCCCTACATCCATAGCTCTGTCTGAATTTGAGTGGTTACATTTCTCCAGCCCCATCCCTCAGCTGTTTACCAGAACAGCGGTGGGGTGCCACTTTATTGTTTGAATTGCAGATTGCCCCTTTAAGGACAGATTGTATAGTCATTTTCTATTGAGTGGTTAGAAGGTTGGGAGTTGGGTCATTGTTCACTCTATGTACTTTTCTGTGTTGAATGTTGGTCTTAGTGCAGGGGTGGCTTTTGTACTGTCAGTGCAGAGATGTCATCTCTCAAGTTCTTTGCCATGGTTTGTTCCAAAGTTTCACATTCTTTTGTTACCAACAGGACAATATGGAGCTAGATGTGAAGTTATCCCAAAAGACCCATACATTGAATTTGGCTCCGACATTAAGATTATGTTTAAGAAGACATGCAACGAGAGAATCTCAGACAGCCACGGCAAAATCTATTGGACGATAAACAACAAGAGCATAGACGAGAGCCTCTATGAAACTAACTCCTCCGTTGCTGCGGTGACAATCTACAATGTATCCCTTCCAAAAGCAATAGTACAATGTCACAGCCATTCAACTAAGCAAGTCTTGGGTGGTACCATCATACAGACATACCGTACGTACCTACTTACATTGTCTGTGTGCGTTACCTTCAGTAAATCAACGTTATTATCATGGAATCTGGGGAATGAATCTTACCGTGAGAATAAATCATGTCCTTACATTTTTTTCAACAGGGAAACCCAGAAACATATCATGTGTCACGTATATCTCAAAACATTTTACATGTCACTGGGAGCACAAGATCAAACCCACATCGAAAATAACATATACCGTTTATAGGGAATGGTGAGTTCTGACTCAAAGACCTACTGCTTTTATTTTTTACATATCTATTTACTTAACACTTATTTTTCTTAAAACCCTATTGTTGGTAAAAGTGCTTTCTGTTTTCACTTCTCTTTTTGTGTAGGGAAATAAGACAAGACGAATGGAAGAGGGATAATTGTAGTTCTGGAAGCACGTCATGCACTTTTAATAGCCTGCCGATACTTTCAAAGCTAAATTACATCACTGTGCGAGCTGAAAGCACAGTTTGGGAGACAATCTCCGACACACTGGAACTGTATCCCTGGGATACAGGTATGTAATCAGAACGCAAAGCTTTGACTCTCTGGAGCAGTTTGCAATCAAATAATGTTATATATAAGTTGTGTGTGTCCACCATTCAAAGCAAATGAAATGACAGACATACCAGTGGATAATTGGATTGCTGTCCATCTTAAAGCTCAATGTCCTTACACCAGTATTTCTTTATCTATTGCATTGTTTGTGTAATTGAGTTCTGACATTACTTACCCAACCTGACATTACTTACCCAACCTGACATTACTTACCCAACCTGACAATACTTACCCAACCTGACATTACTCACCCAACCTGACATTACTCACCCAACCTGACATTACTCACCCAACCTGACATTACTTACCCAACCTGACATTACTACCCAACCTGACAATACTTACCACCTGACATTACTTACCCAACCTGACATACTCACCCAACCTGACATTACTTACCAACCTGACAGTTACTCACCCAACCTGAAATTACTCACCCAACCTGACAATACTTACCCAACCTGACATTACTCACCCAACCTGGACATTACTCACCCAACCTGACATTACTCACCCAACCTGACATTACTTACCCAACCTGACATTACTCACCCAACCTGACATTACTCCCACCTGAAACCATACTTACCCAACCTGACATTACTTACCCAACCTGACATTACTCACCCAACCTGACATTACTACCCAACCTGACAATTACTTACCCAACCTGACATACTCACCCAACCTGACATTACTCACCCAACCTGACATTACTACCCAACCTGACATTACTCACCCAACCTGACATTACTTACCCAACCTGACATTACTCACCCAACCTGACATTACTTACCCAACCTGACATTACTTCACCCAACCTGACATTACTTACCCAACCTGACATTACTTACCCAACCTGACATTACTCACCCAACCTGACATTACTCACCCAACCTGACAATACTTACCCAACCTGACATTACTCACCCAACCTGACATTACTCACCCAACCTGACATTACTTACCCAACCTGACATTACTCACCCAACCTGACATTACTCACCCAACCTGACATTACTCACCCAACCTGACATTACTCACCCAACCTGACATTACTACCCACCTGCATTACTCCCAACCTGACATTACTACCCAACCTGACATTACATTACTCACCAACCTGACATTACTCACCCAACCTGACATTACTCACCCAACCTGACATTACTCACCCAACCTGACATTACTCACCCAACCTGACATTACTTACCCAACCTGACATTACTCACCCAACCTGACATTACTTACCCAACCTGACATTACTTACCCAACCTGACATTACTCACCCAACCTGACATTACTCACCCAACCTGACATTACTTACCCAACCTGACATTACTCACCCAACCTGACATTACTTACCCAACCTGACATTACTCACCCAACCTGACATTACTTACCCAACCTGACATTACTTAACCCAACCTGACATTACTCACCCAACCTGACATTACTCACCCAACCTGACATTACTTACCCAACCTGACATTACTCACCCAACCTGACATTACTTAACCCAACCTGACATTACTCACCCAACCTGACATTACTTTACCCAACCTGACATTACTTACCCAACACTGACATTACTCACCCAACCTGACATTACTACCCAACCTGACATTACTTACCCAACCTGACATTACTTACCCAACCTGACATTACTCACCCAACCTGACATTACTTAACCCAACCTGACATTACTTACCCAACCTGACATTACTCACCCAACCTGACATTACTCACCCAACCTGACATTACTTACCCAACCTGACATTACTACCCAACCTGACATTACTACCCAACCGCAAACCTGACATTACTTACCCAACCTGACATTACTTACCCAACCTGACATTACACGTACTCCCCACCCAAACCCAACCTGACATACTTACCCCTAAACCTGACATTACTTACCCAACCTGACAATACTTACCCAACCTGACATTACTCACCCAACCTGACATTACTCACCCAAACCTGACATTATTACCCAACCTGACAATTAACTCACCCAACCTGACATTACTCACCCAACCTGACATTACTCACCCAACCTGACATTACTCACCCAACCTGACATTACTCACCCAACCTGACATTACTACCCAACCTGACATTACTCACCCAACCTGACATTACTTACCCAACCTGACATTACTTACCCAACCTGACATTACTACCCCAACCTGACATTACTCACCCACACTGACATTACTACCCAACCTGACATTACTTACCCAACCTGACATTACTTACCCAACCTGACATTACTACCCAACCTGACATTACTACCCAACCTGACATTACTCACCAACCTGACATTACTCACCCAACCTGACATTACTACCACCTGACATACTCACCCACCTGACATTACTACACCTGACATACTCACCAACCTGACATTACTTACCCAACCTGACATTACTCACCCAACCTGACATTACTTACCCAACCTGACATTACTTACCCAACCTGACAATACTTACCCAACCTGACAATACTTACCCAACCTGACATTACTTACCCAACCTGACATTACTTACCCAACCTGACATTACTTACCCAACCTGACATTACTCACCCAACCTGACAATACTCACCCAACCTGACAATACTTACCCAACCTGACATTACTTACCCAACCTGACATTACTCACCAACCTGACATTACTCACCCAACCTGACATTACTCACCCAACCTGACATTACTTACCCAACCTGACATTACTTACCCTGTTTTTCAAGTGAAAATTGACCCTCCAACGAATGTGCTGGTGGTTCCTCTCCCTGCTAGTCTAAGGATTGAATGGGAAAATCCAGGCACAGACTATCCTGACCAGGTCACACACTGTCAAGTCCAATATGGCAAGGTACACCGCTCATTTATTAAATGTTATGTTGTCTGTGTGTTGTTTGTTGCTCGGTGCAATGTGCTATTTTCCCGGACTAGTCGAAGTTAACGTGACTGTTTGTTTTTGCCACTCATATCTTTGTTTCTTCTCTCTGTGTAAATGTCCAGCATGTAATGGATACATCTATGAACACAGGGGCCACGACTGCCTCTGTCACTTCTGCAGAAGTGGAGCCATGCACCAACCACACAGTGTCTGTCCGCTGTGCTTTAGAAAAGGCCCCTTGGAGTGAATGGAGCAGGCAGGTGACAGTTCTGTCCTCTCTCAACGGTAAGAAAACATAAAGCCCCAGTAAATCACAATCGCTGTATAGGTTTTCAGGAGAAGTAAAAAAATATATATATATTTTCAGAATGCATGTTTGAAGTGATGGGTATAAGTCAGGGCCTGTATTAATAAAACATCTCAGAGTACTGATCCAGGATCAGGTCCCCCCTTGTCCATGTAATCTTATTCATTATGCTCTAAAAGGCTAAATGTGGCCTAGATCAGCACTCTTACTCTGAGATGCTATGACGTCTCTACTGTCTGTTTTTGTTTTTCACTGTTAACATTTTGTTATTGCAGACATGAATTTGAATGCACATATTTGCTGTACTTGAAGAATGAGGCGTTAGACTTTGATTGAATAGCACGCAATGGTCTGTGTGTTTGTCATGCACCCTTATCAAACGTTATCATGTTTTTGGTTTTTTGCTGTAAGCTTCCTCACGTTATCGTCTGGCACGGTTTGATAGGGATAAGCAATGTGGCTGAAACAATTTCGCCATCCCAGTTGTCTCATTCGATGAGTAATAATAGGAAGGATGCATTTTGAAAGTGTTTTAAACGGAGCTGTGGTCTGTGTCTAGGTGGAGCACAGGACTTGTGAAATGGGTTGTGGTGAGAGACATTGTGAACTAATCACTCATTATGTTTTTTGGAACACATTAGTCAGCCACAGTATGCTTTCAGTTTCAGCCTTAATATTGAATACTAGGTTTCAGTTTGTCTTAGTATTGAATGTTCACTACACCTTCTCCTACAGTACATCACAAAATGACTTGTAACATTGTGATGCTTTTTGAAAGAGGCCTAAATTCAAAAATCAAAGGTTCAATTGGAACATGTGGTTATTATAACTAGGCTAAACTGTATGTATTCTATGTCAACAGTGAGCACAGTGCAGTTGGACCTGTGGAGGAAGATGGATGCACCAGACGACACTGGGACTAGAACAGTGCACCTGATGTGGAAGGTAGGGAGGCTAGAGAAGGAATGTATAGCACTTTACATAATCAACATTATACCACTCTCTTGTTCTGTATTGGTTAGTCACTACCAAGGGTCTCCAGCTCTGGTTCTGGGTAGCTACAGTGTACATGGACTGTTGTTCCAGTCCACCACTAACACATCTGATTCTACAAATCAAAATGTCATCGAAACCTTGAAGCAGGTATGTTAGTGCTGGGTTGAAACTACAACCTTCTCACCCAGTACCTCCCCAGCACCACAGTTGGAGACCTTTGGTCTAAAGCTTTTCAAAGCTGTGTAACTCTAACAAGAGTTTCCTTCCTCAAAACTAGGGTTGCAAAACTACCACCAATTTACCAGGGTAATCTATGGCAATCTATGGTACCTTTTTGGTAATTTATACTTGAATAACTTTTGAAAACCTGTATTCATATATAGTATTCATTTTTTATACATTGTCCATGAGTTTCTAGTGGATAGACCATATGGTTCAAGAGGAAATAGCCTAATTAATGAAAAACGCATCTAATCAACATTGGCATTATTTTCAGTTAACTCTGCAACACTTCCAACTATTGACTTTTTTCACCATTGCCACCAGTTTGGCGCCAAAACATTTACAACAAATACATACTATTTTTGTATTTTATTTATTTAACCTTTATTTAACTAGGCAAGTCAATTAAGAACAAATTCTTATTTACAATAAATACGTGTTTAAATAACGTAAACAAAGGATGGTTTATATGTAGGATAATGTTTTACAGCTTCGTCATTCCATTTAAAAAAAAATCATATTTTAATTATTTTATATATTTTATGTGATAAGGCCACACAGAGGGCTAGAGATCATTAGACACCTGTGATAATCTGAAGTACCCAAAAAGGCCACTAGATATCATGTGATAAATTCCTTGAGAAACAGGAAAAAGTCTTGGCACACTTCCAGTCAGATGCACATTTATTTAATTGTAGCTGAGCTTTCGGTCAGTCGACCTTCATCAGGTTGACCGAAAGCTCAGCTATAATTCAAATAAATGTGCATCTGTCTGGAAGTGTGCCGAGACTTTTTCCTGTTTCTCTAGTTTAGCCTTTTGCCTCCAGCACCTTCACTAATCAGCTCTGGGTGTGCGTTAGATTCTGCCAATCATCTACGTGTGATAAATTCCATAACATACTTTAACTTCACCAAAATTCTAGTTGCTTATTGATAAACATTGAAAGGTACCAGTAATATACCCGCCCTTTGCAACCCTACTAAAAAATATGAGTAAATCTCAAACCAAATTATTCTGACCGGGTGTGATTTATTTTCTAACTTCGTCTTTTCTTCTTTGTACAGGGCATCTCCCCTGCATGCAAGGCCATCGATGGATACAGGCTGACATACATGGCTGATGAAAAGCACATACCTGACATACATTTGGACAGCGTTGTGGATAAGGCTTCTATCACTGTGGACCAGCAGGCGTACAGAGTCACTCTCGCTGTCTATCGTGGTAACACCACATTTTCTGAACAGTCAATCTATGTACCCGCCGTTGGACAAAGTAAGTTGCCATACTTGACACGTATTCAATATGCAATTGCCAGTCATCCAATTTAGTTGCATGTGATTAGCTAGCAGATATGAGTCATATCTATCATGATATATCTATCTAGTAGTAGAAAGTTATCACATTATCTCACTACTCTTTATAGTATAGGCGCTACTACTACACTAAACTCAATGTTTCAACACAAGCCTCTAACAATTTAAACGTCTTCTACTATCATAAAAATACGAATGGACAGCTGAAGAAAGGCATCGTTTTCCTTTAGAAAAAATACCTGTTCTAGTTGTGTGTTATTTACAGTGAGTTTTATTTAGAAGTGATTCTAAGCTTCTGTGTGCTACAGTGTCACATTCATGAGTTTCTGTGTGTCAGGTCTCCCCCAGGTTAGGGGTGCACAGGCCTCAGCCCATGACGGTGACATCCAGGTCAGCTGGGCTGTTCCTCCTCTCCTCTCTGTCCATGGATACATCATAGACTGGACCACCGATGGAGATCCATACACCTGGCTACAGAGCCAAGACACTCACATCTCATTGACTGGTGAGCTTGGATTCTAAAGAATGGATGGATGGGTGGGTGGATTGGATGGGTGGATGGGTGGGTGGATTGGATTTGCAGATGTTATCGCAGGTGCAGCGAAATGCTTGCATTTCTAGCTACAATCAGGTATTACACCTAGCAATACAATTGTTTTTATATATATATATGATGAGCCATGAGTAGAATACAGTATATACATATAAATTGGGTAAAACAGTATGTAAACATTATTAAATCAACTGGTAATATTGTGTGTATACATCCCACATTAAATTACCACCACTCCTCCTGTTATCCCAGTAACCAATTGGTGAAATCTACTTTGGGATGTTTTCAAAAGCTATTTTTTCCCCTCTCATAGGCCTGCAGCCTTTTAAACTATACAACATCACAGTAACTCCACTCTACGATGACAAGACAGGACTGGGAAAAGTCATTCAGATCTGCTCAATAGAAAGAGGTATCGTTCACATTTTCCCCTCTTTCTTTTGCCCCTTTGGGGTAATGCTTATGTATCTTCATATTCTTATAGATTCTTATATATTCAAATTATTCAACGTTTTAATTGTATCTGTCCCCAAATAAATTGATTACTAAATCATATTTTCTTTATCAACTCAGCTCCAGGGAATATATCCTCCGTTGATGTACATGTTCAAGACAAAAGTGCTCAGGTCAACTGGACTGCTGTGCCTCAGAGCCAATGTAGCAGTGTTGTCATCAACTATACTGTGTTCTACAAGACTGAAACACAACCAGAGCTGAGTAAGTCTCCTGAAACATTGTTTTAACTTTGTTATAACGGCCTTATCTTAGCACATTGGTCACCATAGCAACACCCACCCGTAGTATGCGTTCCAGCAGGTATATCTCACTGGTCATCCCCAAAGCCAACACCTCCTTTGGTCGCCATTCCTTCCAGTTCTCTGCTGCAAATGACTGGAACGAACTGCAAAAATCTCTGAAGCTGGAGACACTTATCTCCCTCACTATCTTTAAGCATCAGTTGTCAGAGCAGCTTACCGATCACTGCAGCCCATCTGCAATTAGCCCACCCAACTACCTCATCCCCATATTGTTATTTATTTTGTTCATATGCACCCCAGTATCTCTATTTGCACATCATCTTCTGCACATCTATCACTCCAGTGTTAATACTAAATTATAATTGTAATTATTTTGCACTATGGCCTATTTATTGCCTTACCTCCATAACTTACTACATTTGCACACACTGAATATAGATTTTCTATTGTGTTTTTGACTGTACGTTTTGTTTATTCCATATGTAACTCTGTAGTTGTTTTCACCATACTGCTTTGCTTTATCTTGGCCAGGTCGCAGTTGTAAATGAGAACTTGTTCTCAACTGGCTTACCTGGTTAAATAAAGGTGAAATAAAATAAATCAATAAATAAATGTCAACTGTACCGAGGGTCATGTCCTGTTGTTTTTCCTCCTCTCTCAGACGTGACTGTAAACAGCTGGAAACAGGAAGTGACTTTGGAGCCTCTCCAACCAGGCACCAGATACAGTGTCCATGTCATGGCCAGCGCTGTTACTGGGGCAACCAATAGCAGCGTCACTCACTTCACCACCAACAGATACAGTAAGGTCATGTCTGTAGGCTTCCCCTGCCTCTGATAGTAACTCATGGTAACACAGATTGACACTTTAAAAGTCTCTCTATGGCACTACACATTCATTCCATGTATCCGCTTTGACGCACAGGGTTACAGTAACAAATGTTCTAACCATAGAATTACAGTAACTAGAACTGACATTCAAGTCGATCTTCCTTGCAGGCTGGACCTGTGGACATATAGAGTGCACTCGTCTGTACCAGTCATATTGCTGATCTGAGAGGCTTTGTCTTTTCTAGTGGTTTTAATTCTATGGTTCTCTGACATGTTGCCCCATCCATACACTACCGCTCAATTGTCCAAAAACACTATTTGCTGTTGTATTCTCCATGTCGTTGTTTCATAGCCAAGGTGTGGTAACATAAGGAAGTGAATGGCAGGTTCTTATAGTAATGTCTCTGTGTCTGTCCAATCAGGCTGGACCTTCATCATAATGCTCTGTGTCTTGAGTGGTCTCAGCATCATCATCGTCCTAGTCACTGGACTTTTCTGCGTCATTCAGTATGTTCTGCCATAGATCTCAGTATGTTTTAAAGCTGCAGATTTTCTTCCCTGTATACGTACAGACAGCAAACGTCTATGTCCCAAATGGCTCCCTATTTAGTGCACTGCTTTTTGACCAGGGCCCATCACTCACTTCAAGTCAATTATGTCCGAAAAGTCAGATGATTGAATGTTCTATGTAATGTCTGTTAACTGATCCCTAGGTGGAACAGGTTTTTGGGGAAGATGGTGCCAAACCCCGGTCTCAGCTCCTTGGTATTCTGGTCTTCACAGGATTGTCATAAGGTAAACATGATAATGACATGATAATCCTTTTATATTGTATCATTTCATCCTCCAACACATTCCATTTAGGCCTATCCTACAGTATAGACAATGGATACTGTATCGAACATGTCCTTCCATTTCACTAGTCTGAAGAAAAGGGATATGATATCCACTACCGTTCAAAAGTTTGGGGTCACTTAGAAATGTCATTTTTTTCGAAAGAAAAGCAATTTTTTTGTCCATTTAAAATAACATCAAATTGATCAGAAATACAGTGCAGACATTGTTAATGTTGTAAATGGCTATTGTAGCTGGAAACGGCAGATTTTTTATGGAATATCTACATAGGCGTACAGAGGCCCATTATCAGCAACCATCAGTCCTGTGTTCCAATGGCACGTTGTGTTTGCTAATCCAAGTTTATCATTTTAAAAGGCTAATTGATCATTAGAAAACCCTTTTGCAAGTCTGTTAGCACAGCTGAAAACTGTTGTGCTGATTAAAGAAGCAATAAAACGGGCCTTCTTGAGACTAGTTGAGCATCTGGAGAATCAGCAATTGTGGGTTCGATTACAGGCTCAAAATGTCCAGAAACAAATAACTTTCTTCTGAAACTCGTCAGTCTATTCTTGTTCTGAGAAATGAAGGCTATTCCATGCGAGAAATTGCCAAGAAACTGAAGATCTCGTACAACGCTGTGTACTACTCCCTTCACAGAACAGCGCAAACTGGCTCTAACCAGAAAGGTTAGAGGACAAAATACATTAGAGTGTCTAGTTTGAGAAACAGGCGCCTCACAGGTCCTCAACTGGCAGCTTCATTAAAGAGTACCCGCAAAACACCAGTGTCAACGTCAACAGTGAAGAGGTGACTCCGGGATGCTGACCTTCTAGGCAGAGTTGCAAAGAAAAAGCCATATCTCAGACTGGCCAATAAAAAGAAAAGATTAAGATGGGCAGTCTGAGATATGGCTTTTTCTTTGCAACTCTGCCTAGAAGGTCAGCATCCCGGAGTCGCCTCTTCACTGTTGACGTTGAGACTGGTGTTTTGCGGGTACTATTTAATGAAGCTGTATGAAAATGTATTTGTCCTTTTGCTCAGTTGTGCACCGGGGCCTCCCACTCTTCTTTCTATTCTGGTTAGAGACAGTTTGTGCTGTTCTGTGAAGGGAGTAGTACACAGCGTTGTACGAGATCTTCAGTTTCTTGGCAATTTCTCACATGGAATAGCCTTCATTTCTCAGAACAAGAATAGACTGACGAGTTTCAGAAGAAAGTTATTTGTTTCTGGACATTTTGAGCCTGTAATCGAACCCACAATTGCTGATTCTCCAGATGCTCAACTAGTCTCAAGAAGGCCCGTTTTATTGCTTCTTTAATCAGCACAACAGTTTTCAGCTGTGCTAACATAATTGCAAAAGGGTTTTCTAATGATCAATTAGCCTTTTAAAATGATAAACTTGGATTAGCAAACACAACGTGCCATTGGAACACAGGACTGATGGTTGCTGATAATGGGCCTCTGTACGCCTATGTAGATATTCCATTAAAAATCTGCCGTTTCCAGCTACAATAGCCATTTACAACATTAACTATGTCTACACTTTATTTCGGATCACATTTCTAAGTGACCCCAAACTTTTGAACGGTAGTGTGCATTTCATTCATTAAGTTTCAACACAAATCTTACACTTTTAGACCATTACTTATGGATGACACTGTTCATGTTCCAAATAGGCACATTCACCCCCCTTTCTCTACCCTGTAACTATTTCCCAGGTCATTGCTGTAAATGAGAACGTGTTCTCAGTCAACTGACCTGGTAAAATAAGGGCAAAATAAATAGAATGTTGGTCTTCATGTTGGCTCAACAGTTTCTGTTATCCCTACTGTCTTCACAATTCCTGTCTGGAAACCCACAGATCCAGCCCTTTAACAACCTGCCTAAACTCGAAACCTTCTGTGAGAGAATCTACCCTTGTGACGTGAACGCCATAACAGACGACATCATGGGATCAACCTCTACAGAAGACGAGGACATACAGGACAAGGGCAACGAGACAGTCTGTGACCAGACAGCGAGATGGAGCTCTGGCTTCGGTAGCAGGACCTCCTGTGACAGCCAACCCAGAGAGGAGAGCAGTAACCTGGGCCTGGCCCCAACCTGCCTCACTTTACTGGCTCAACAAGACGGAGGAATCAACCTGGTGGAGTCAACCACCTCTGAGGACTCATCATCAGAGCCATCAGACCTACAGGCCTCCGAGAGCTGTCCCATCAACTCCTACAGGTTGCAGAGTCCAGGGGAATGCCCTGTGAGGTTGGGGCTGGGGAGAGGCGAGGCGATGGTCGGGCGCCACAGAGGAGAGTAGGAGCCTTTTGGACACCAAGCAGCATAGCATCAAAGCTCCTCTCACAGCGTACATCACTCTGGACATGTTTGAACACAGGCGGCCAGCTGAAGGAAAGTAAACAGACATGAACACACTCCTGAATCCAGTGGACTTCTCAGTGTCTTTCCTGTACCTTTATTCATTCAGTTTTAATGTCTCATATAGGCTACTGTGTTTTTGTGTTAGTGGTACTTTTAAATATACATTTTGTAATTGTACTTGAGTGACAATTTGTATGTGTATTTGTAGATTGTAAAGCTGGATAGATATCCGTTTTTGCATTAAGATGGTTCTTTCAATTTGACTTTTGCACTTGCATCTGTTTAGACAAACTCATATAAATATCAATCTATACTGTTGTAAGTGGTAGAATATATCTCATCAAATGTTTTAGTTTCTTGTCAATGAGGACTGCTGTTGAAACAACTTAAGCAGTTCCCTTTCCGTCCACTACCAGTATGCCGTTTGGTTTGGGGGAAGGGGTGTTGCAACATCCCTTCCTGAGAACAGAAAGCGAGTGTGCCAAGACGGAAGATGGAAAATTTTCAGTAACAGGGTCAGAACAATGTCTCTTGAGTCACTGGCTGGGTGGTAGCCTAGCGGATAAGAGGTTGGGCAAGTAACCGAAAGGTTGCTGGTTCGAATCCCCGAGCTGACTAGGTGAAATCTGTGGATGTGCCCGTGAGCAAGGCACTTAACCCTAATTGCTCCTGTAAGTCGCTCTGGATAAGAGCGTCTGCAAAATGACTTAAATGTAAATTGTAGCGTCCCAAATTGCATCCTATTCCATGTGCAGGGCTCATAGGGCTCTGGTCAGAAGTAGTGTACTATATAATTATTAGGGTGCATTTTGGGACGTGGCCAGAGACTAGAGAGACATGAAGCCTTGTTTTGACCCTGTACTGTTCTTTAGAAAAATATAATTCACAGAGTCATTGAAAAAAAACAAATCACTCCCAAGTCTATGATCTGCCTGATTACATTTTGTTGCATAATAACTTATTTTTAAAATAATGTTGGGAATGGGAGCGGAACAAAATAAGTTTAGTCTCTGATGGACTAATATATTCTGTTCTATTAATGTTGAACGTCTCACTGAAAGTAAAGCACTCTTCACTTTGTAAAAGGATGCAGACAGAAGTGGGAGGCATTTCATTTACAAAGTAACAAATTATACATACACTTTTCAGTATACAAAACATTAGGAACACCTTCCTATTTTTGAGTTGTACCCCCTTTTGCCCTCAGAACAGCCTCAATTCCTCAGGGCATGAACTCTACAAAGTGTCAAGTGTTCCACAGGGCCCATGTTGTGTCAAGTTGGCTGGATGTCCTTTGGGTGGTGGACCATTCTTGATACACACGGGAAACTGTTGAGCGATCATTCACTGAGTCATCACTCCAAGTCTATGGTCTGCCTGATTACATTTTGTTGCATAAGAAAATCTTCTTATGTGACTGAGCATAACAAAATAAGAATTTCTAACTGATTGACTAATATATTCGGTTCTATTCTATTAATGTTTAAGTTCTCATTGAAAGAAAGCACTCTAAAGATACAGGTAACTGCTAAAATAAAGGAAACATTTGAGTAAATGAGGGAGACTTAAGTAAATTGAAAGCAGGTGCTTTTACACAGGTGTGGTTCCTGAATTAATTAAGCATTTAACGTCCCATCATGCTAAGGGTCATGTATAAAAATGCCCAGTTGCCCATTATTTTGGCTACCATGGCTAGAAGAGATCTCATAGACTTTGAAAGAGGGGTCTCAAAGGATCATGGGGGGTTTAAAGGGTGTGTGTGTCTCAGTCACCAGATTTCAACCCAATTGAACACTTATGGGAGATTCTGGAGCGGCACCTGAGAGCGTTTTCCACCACCAACAAAACACCAAATGATGGAATTTCTCATGGAAGAATGGTGTCACATCCCTCCAATAGAGTCCTAAACACCTGTAGAATCTGTCCCAAGGTGCATTGAAGCTGTTCTGGCTCGTGGTGTTTCCTTTATTTTGGCAGTTACCTGATGCTGCTTTACAAGAAGTGTAATAAGTCACATTCCTTCACATGGATAACACTGTGGATTCCTTCACATGTATAACACTGTGGATTCTTTCACATGGATAATACATAACACTGTAGATTCCTTCACATGTATAACACATAACACTGTGGATTCCTTCACATGGATAACACTGTTCACTTTGTGAAATGACGCAGACAAAAGTCAGGTATTTAATCTGGGTAATTTAATACTGAAGACTGCTCCAAACAAGGTGTGTATTATTGTGGCATGCAGTGAAATACTATGCTTCAGTTTTCTGTATACATGGAAAAGTAGTGTTAACTGAGGGATGTCAGAATAGTTTTCATAAATATTAAAATGTGTGTAAATGTACATTAAATTTCTCTGAGCATACTCCCTGCTGTAGAAACTAATCTGGAAGTTGGAGGTCCAGTTGATCTGTACATTCCAAACACATCTTAAACAAAGTAACAAAATATACTGCTCTTTTCATGACAACACAAAAATTCATATAAAAAAAAATATATATACCTGTAAGAAATTATACATAAACGTCCTTTTCAGTACATATAATACTGTACCAGTAATCGCTCTAAATCTGACCTGGAACCAGATGGGCAGGGAATTTGCATAGCACTGCTTTACTTATAGTTTAATTTAACCACAAGTCACAATGTCCTTATTAACGGATCAATTTAAAACACAAGATAAAAAAAGGTGGTAATTCATAGAATTCTGAAATGAACATGAAACGTTTTGTAGTTCCTGGTTATTAAAGGTCTTTGGCAACAGATCGAATCTAAAGATGACTTTGAGCAGAATTCATAACAGAAAGTCAAGCAGACTTTGTATGAAAAATTCACAAGGCATTGTAAAAAGGCAAATGTATGACCTCGTCACCAGTCATATATTGACTAGCATACAACATTTCAGGGGGGGGGGGGGGGGGGGGGGGGGGTCGTGTTGTATTGGTTAGTGTCACATTCTAGCTTCCTTTAAGTCCTCTTTCTTGGAGTGATGCGTCATCACACTTTGTCTATTCTGAAAGTATTCAGACCCCTTGACTTTTTCCACATTTTGTTACGTTACGGGACCTTATATAGACAGGTGTGTGGACTCCAATCAAGTTGTAGAAACATCTCAAGGATTATCAAAGGAAACAGGATGCACCTGAGCTCAATTTCGAGTCTCATAGCAAAGGGTCTGAATACTTACGTAAATAAGGTATTTCTGTTGTTTAGCTTTGTCATTATGGGGTATTGTGTGTAGATTTGAGATTATATTTATTTAATCAATTTTAGATTAAGGCTGTAACGTAACAAAGTGTGGAAATAGTCAAGGGGTCGGTACTCTCCGAATGCACTGTAAATTCAACTTGGCCAGTTTGTAGAGATTAGCGTCAACTTCAAGACTATTTTCTAACACAACAAATGATAAACAGTACAAAGCTCACTAGCTACTGAAGAGGCTTTTATAGTGAAATGTTGTCCATTCAATGTGAGACATTATTTAAGTCCATAGACATGGTCCTAGTTAGTATGAAGAGAGAAGAGGATGACCATTCAATCCACCATCCTGGGAACGCACAGACATCTTCATTAGGGCCAACTGTAGCGAAAATGAGCATTTCTTATTAGACAGGTCCAGGTAGCTCCTCTCAGTTCTCTCCTGTTCGGTGCCTAGCTGCTCTGGGACGTTGCTGTTTGAGACCGACTAGATCTGTTGATTATGTTCAGCATATGTGTGTAAGGATGAGAATCAGACGTTCAGTAATGCCTGACCTGTGTCTATAAATTCCTGTCTGTCACGTGAACTGATTGCGATGGTGGTTGCTAAGAGAATTAAGATGTTATACACTGCCCGTCTAGTCTTAACTATAGGATATAACATCTCAATCAGAATCACATGTATAACACTATGATGATAACTTGAAAAAGAGGTCTATTTGCTTCTTAGAATGTTAAAACAATAAAACCTTGACATACAAGCTTAAGGCTTGGAGCCAAACCGTGTCATCCACTTAAAAATAGATTTAATTAGGCAAGTTAGGATGTCTGTATGAAGTTCATGATTGCCATTTGGGTAAGTTCAAAAATAATATGCCGACGTAATTCATAATTTGAAAGCTTGAAATAAATGTCTGAAATGAACCAAGGCACAAATGAAACAAAGTCACCATTTGTTCTCCTCTCCTAACACTGTTGCCTGTTGCCCCTCAGCTGAGGCATGTAGCTAGGGGCGGGGCCTGGCTGTCCGTCAGGGGACTGGCTCTCATCTGTGGGTGTGGTCTGCTGTGCCCCCTCCTCCAGAGGGCAGAACCGGAGCGAAGCCAACTCCTGCTCCTCCATCTCCAGCTGGTTCCTGTCCCCTGGGTCTCTGCTTTCGCTACCCCCAGGTGAGCGCCTGAAGTAGGGGTTCCGCGGGTAGCGCTGGTGGGTCTGCCCACTCCCCTCCTGGCCCTCCTCACTTTCCAGCAGGGGTTGGGTGGACTCAGAGCGGGCGAAGCTGGGCGTCTGGGACTGGGAGGAGCCGGACGGGGGGGTCTGGGGCAGAGGGCAGGGGGTCTGGGGCAGAGGGCAGGGGGTCTGGCCCTTGTAGCCGCTCGAGGCCACCACTGATGAGTATTGAACGATGCTGGTCGTGGTCTGGCCTGAGTCACCGCCGTCCTCGCTGTCTGAGACGCTCTGGCGCGGCGTCGACATGCAGGAGGAGCCGCCGATGCCGCTGCTGTGCTCCTCTGACAGGTACTTGTCCTTCTTGAGTGGCAGGCCCGCCTTGTCCTCTTCGCACAGCGACTTCCTGTCGAATACGTCCACCTCCACCACGCTCACGTCGCCCAGCACACTCTCCTTGGGACTGTCAGCCTGAGAAGAAAAAGGAGGGTTAAGTCAACTTCTATGTAAAGTCACATCCATGTTACAATACACAGAAATAAAATAGTGAAATGGACGCACATCTGCAGATAGCAACATGTGCGTAGTGAATAGAAAGGCATAGTAATTAGGGCTGGGAATTGCCAGGGACCTCACGATACAATATTATCACCATCCTGAGGGACCTCACCATACTGAGGGACCTCACCATTTGATATCACCATATTGAGGGACTTCACGATACGATGTTATCACCATACTGAGGGACCTCACCATTCAATATTATCACCTCACTGAGAGACCTCACCATACGATATTATCACCATACGGAGGGACCTCACCATTCAATATTATCACCTCACAGAGACCTCACCATTCAATATTATCACCTCACTGAGAGACCTCACCATACGATATTATCACCTCACAGAGACCTCACCATACGATATTATAACCTCACTGAGAGACCTCATGACATGATATTATCACCATACTGAGGGACCTCACATTTAACCTTTTTTTTTTTTTTTTTTTTACATTTTAGTCATTTAGCAGATGCTCTTATCCAGAGCGACTTACAGTTAGTGAGTGCATACATTTTCATACTGGCCCCCCGTGGGAAAAGAACCCACAACCCTGGCGTTGCGAGCGCCATGCTCTACCAACTGAGCTACACGGGGCCTCACGATATGATATTATCACCATACTGAGGAGCAGATACAATATGTATTGTGATTCGATATATTATATTTAGATACTGCGATTTTATTGCGATACGATGTTCCAAACATATTGCTCACCATATGTCTGCTACAGAGACGAGAGAGCAAACGAGTCATGGAAGTAAAAGAAAACATGTTTCATCATTTAAAAAGAAGGTGGAGAAGAAGCTATAGAAGGGGGAATACTGGAGTTTTGGCACAGGTACAGCCGACTAGCGCTAGCTAACGTTAACTATATAGCGGAAAAAAATACATACAGTTGAAGTCGGAAGTTTACATACACCTTAGCCAAATACATTTAAACTCAGTTTTTCACAATTCCTGACATTTAACCCTAGTAAAAATTCCCCTTCTTAGGTCAGTTAGGATCACCACTTTATTTTAAGAATGTGAAATGTCAGAATAATAGTAGAGAGAATTATTTATTTCATTCATCACATTCCCAGTTGGTCAATTAGTATTTGGTAATATTGCCTTTAAATTGTTTAACTTGGGTCAAACGTTTCGGGTAGCCTTCCACAAGCTTCCCACAATAAATTGGGTGAATTTTGGCCCATTCCTCTTGACAGAGCTGGTGTAACTGAGTCAGGTTTGTAGGCCTCCTTGCTCGCACACACTTTTTCAGTTCTGCCCACAAATGTTCTATAGGATTGAGGTCAGGGCTTTGTGATGGCCACTCAAATACCTTGACTTTGTTGTCCTTAAGCCATTTTGCCACAACTTTGGAAGTATGCTTGGCGACATTGTCCATTTGGAAGACCCATTTTTGACCAAGCTTTAACTTCCTGACTGATGTCTTGAGATGTTGCTTCAATATATCCACATCATTTTCCTTCCTCATGATGCCATCTATTTTGGGAAGTGCATCTCTCCTGAAGAAAAGCACACCCGCAGCATGATGCCGCCACCCCCGTGCTTCACGTTTGGGATGGTGTTATTCGGCTTGCAAGCAACCACCTTTTTCCTCCAAACATAACGATGGTCATTATGGCCAAACAGTTCTATTTTTGTTTAATCAGACCAGAGGACATTTCTCCAAAAAGTACGATCTTTGTCCCCATGTGCAGCTGCAAACCGTAGTCAGGCTTTTTTATGGCGGTATTGTAACAGTGGCTTCTTCCTTGCTGAGCGGCCTTTCAGGTTATGTCGATATAGGACTCGTTTTACTGTGGATATAGATACTTTTGTACCGGTTTCCTCCAGCATCTTCACAAGGTCCTTTGATGTTGTTCTGGGATTGATTTGCACTTTTCGCACCAAAGTACGTTCCTCTCTAGGAGACAGAACGCGTCTCCTTCCTGAGCGGTATGACAGCTGCGTGGTCCCATGGTGTTTATACTTGAGTACTATTGTTTGTACAGATGAACGTGGTACCTTCAGGCGTTTGGAAATTGCTCCCAAGGATGAACCAGACTTGTGGAGGTCTACAATGATTTTTCTGAGGTCTTGGCTGATTTCTTTAGATTTTCCCATGATGTCAAGCAAAGAGGCTGTGATTTTGAAGGTAGGCCTTGAAATACATCCACAGTTACACCTCCAATTGACTCAAATGATGTCAATTAGCCTATCAGAAGCTTCTAAAGCCATGACATCATTTTCTGGAATTTTCCAAGCTGTTTAAAAGGCACAGTCAACTTAGTGTATGTAAACTTCTGACCCACTGGAATTGTGATACAGTGAATTATAAGTGAAATAATCATCTGTAAACAATTGTTGGAAAAATTACTTGTGTCATGCACAAAGTAGATGTCCTAACCGACTTGCCAAAACTATAGGTTGTTAAAAAGAAATTTGTGGAGTGGTTGAAAAACGAGTTTTAATGACTCCAAACTAAGTGTATGTAAACTTCCAACTTCAACTGTAATTGAGTCATAGAATTTATATAATATTGTCAAAAATAATATTGCGATACTCTACTGTATCGACTTTTTCCACCATCCCTAGCCAATTCCATGAAATGCAATTCCTTGACTGAAAAACAACCCATTATCTTCAAGGATTTTGCAACTCATGAATTACATTTTTAATTCTCATCTTGAACTGAAATGGAATTGAGCCCATCCCTGAGGAGGGTTATAGCTAGAGAGAGTGAGGAGGGTTAAAGATAGAGAGAGTGAGGAGGGTTAAAGATAGAGAGAGTGAGGAGGGTTATAGCTAGAGAGAGTGAGGAGGGTTATAGCTAGAGATGGTGAGGAGGGTTATAGTTAGAGATGGTGAGGAGGGTTATAGCTAGAGATGGTGAGGAGGATTAAACCTAGAGATGGTGAGGAGGGTTAAACCTAGAGATGGTGAGGAGGGTTATAGCTAGAGATGGTGAGGAGGGTTATAGCTAGAGAGAGTGAGGAGGGTTATAGCTAGAGATGGTGAGGAGGGTTATAGCTAGAGAGAGTGAGGAGGGTTAAACCTAGAGATGGTGAGGAGGGTTATAGCTAGAGATGGTGAGGAGGGTTATAGCTAGAGATGGTGAGGAGGGTTATAGCTAGAGATGGTGAGGAGGGTTATAGCTAGAGATAGTGAGGAGGGTTATAGCTAGAGATGGTGAGGAGGGTTATAGTTAGAGATGGTGAGGAGGGTTATAGCTAGAGATGATGAGGAGGATTAAACCTAGAGATGGTGAGGAGGGTTAAACCTAGAGATGGTGAGGAGGGTTATAGCTAGAGAGAGTGAGGAGGGTTATAGCTAGAGATAGTGAGGAGGGTTATAGCTAGAGATGGTGAGGAGGGTTATAGCTAGAGATGGTGAGGAGGGTTATAGCTAGAGAGAGTGAGGAGGGTTATAGCTAGAGATAGTGAGGAGGGTTATAGCTAGAGATGGTGAGGAGGGTTATAGCTAGAGATAGTGAGGAGGGTTATAGCTAGAGATAGTGAGGAGGGTTAAACCTAGAGATAGTGAGGAGGGTTATAGCTAGAGATAGTGAGGAGGATTAAACCTAGAGATAGTGAGGAGGGTTATAGCTAGAGAGAGTGAGGAGGGTTATAGTTAGAGATGGTGAGGAGGGTTATAGCTAGAGATGGTGAGGAGGGTTATAGCTAGAGATAGTGAGGAGGGTTAAACCTAGAGATAGTGAGGAGGGTTAAACCTAGAGATCGTGAGGAGGGTTATAGCTAGAGATGGTGAGGAGGGTTATAGCTAGAGAGAGTGAGGAGGGTTATAGCTAGAGATGGTGAGGAGGGTTATAGCTAGAGATGGTGAGGAGGGTTATAGCTAGAGATGATGAGGAGGGTTATAGCTAGAGAGAGTGAGGAGGGTTATAGCTAGAGATAGTGAGGAGGGTTAAACCTAGAGATAGTGAGGAGGGTTAAACCTAGAGATCGTGAGGAGGGTTATAGCTAGAGATGGTGAGGAGGGTTATAGCTAGAGAGAGTGAGGAGGGTTATAGCTAGAGATGGTGAGGAGGGTTATAGCTAGAGAGAGTGAGGAGGGTTATAGCTAGAGATAGTGAGGAGGGTTAAAGTGACTCTATAGCGCTCCAAATTGTGTGAACGGTCCGAATAAACAATTATTTTGACCTGTTCGTCCTATCACTTGTCGTCTAGGACAAGGTAAACCACACGTGCTGCTCACACTACCACAATGACTCGTGGATGTTACAATCAGTGGAGAGCAGATAGGATTCCAGTAAATGTTGAGAGTTCAGCAACACATAAACTTACAGTGCCCTCCGTAATTATTAGGACAGTGACATTTTTTGTTGGTTTGGCTCTGAAATGATACAATGACTGAGGTTAAAGTGAAGACTGTCAGCTTTAATTATTTGAGGGTATTTTCATCCATATCGGGGGAACCGTTTAGAAATTACAGCAGTTTCTGTACATAGTCGCCCCCATTTTAGGGGCGCAAAAGTACTGGGACAAATTCACTTATGTGTATTAAAGTAGTAAAAGTTTAGTATTTGGTCCCATATTCCTATAGCATGCAATGACTACATCAAGCTTGTGACTACATATTAGTTGGATGCATTTGCTGTTTGTGTTTCAGATTATTTTGTGCCATTAGAAATTAATGGTAAATAATGTATTGTCATTTTGGAGTCACTTTTGTTGTAAATAAGAATATAATGTTTCTAAACCCTTCTACATTCATGTGGACGCTACCATGGTTACGGATAATCCTGAATGAATCGTGAATAATGATGAGTGAGAAAGTTACAGACGCACAAATATCATACCGCCAAGACATGCTAACCTATGATATTTTGTGTCTAACTTTCTCACTCATCATTATTCACGATTCATTAAAGATTATCCGTAATCATGGTGGCATCCACATTCATGCAGAAGTGTTTAGAAACATATACAATTCTTATTTTCAATAAAAGTG